AATCTTATGCCAGATATAGTTTATAACTTTACTATTAAATACAATATAAAAATACAGTTAATATGCCTCATTGTACACAAAGCTCACAGTTCTGTATATTTCTGTGTCTGTTTTTATGATTAGTGCACCTATCACAACCAGACCATACTGCCCCGTTTCCAGTTACCTGGATCTCCTCGATGTTGTGGACGATGAACATGTCCTGCAGGTCCTCCATTGCGCCCTCCATCCAGTTGTTGAAGGGTGCCGCTCTCTTGGCGTACTCCAGGTAAAGCTCATCTATCGACTCCAGCTGCTTCTCTGTCCTCTGTTGAGAAGAAAACAGAAAGAAAACTGGTTTATTTAAAGAAACTTTACTGAATTACTCAAAGGAATGGGCCGGGTATCTTTACAAATGTTTCTACAGTTGACGTTGTTCTACTGATTTCTTTATTATATTTAAACACACAAAAAAGCCAGACTTCACAAATGTTAAGTCTTTATTTTATACAAGCTGGTGTGCGTGATTTATGGAAAAATAAAATGATTAACCTTTAAATTATGATATAAATCTGATCTAAGTGGCATTTCTGTATTTGGTTGTGTGTTGCCAAATTGTTAAATATCTTTTTCCTAATTTGTGTTTTTTCTATTTGCATTTGTTTGAGCTCCCAGGGCCACCGTAGTTAGGGTTCACAAAGTAACGTCAGTTACAAACATGTACTACAACCAGACCACTGGACTGCATCAGTGAGAACTGATCTCGCAAAGTCAACCATGTGAGGTACATTATGTCATCAGCATCTGAGCAGAGACCCCGGTATCAGTACCGTACCTCCAGTGACTCTTTGCGGCTCTGGGTGAGGGCTCCCAGGACGTCCCACTGGTCACAGATCTTCTGACAGCGAGCGTTGACGCTGGCGGAGTCGTAGTAGTCCAGCTCGCTGGAAAAGACAACGGAAGAAAGCAGAGTTTGTAGCCGACGCTCAGATAAATGATTCAGTAAGTGTAGAGTACTTCTTATGATCTCGTGCTCTTTTTCTTTACTTGAGCTCCTGTGCAATGGCGGCGATCTGCTCCACTCTGTCCTGATGGGCTGCCAGGTCGCTCTCAAAGGCCTCGTGTTTCCGTAGCAACGCCTTGACTTCTGACAGGGTGGAAGTCTCGTAGTCTTTCTGGGTCAGCATGGCCTCCTTACCTGCACACACATAAAATCCATTCATTCACTTAACCTTTGAGCAGAATAACCTTTCAGTGTCTCTATGATTCACCATGATGACAACACAGCGGTGTACTACAAAAGCAATTCCATATGTTATTCATCCAGTGTGAGTGTGTGTGTGTGTGTGTGTGTGTGTGTGTGTGATAAAACATCTACACACCATCGGTCCAGGATTCATGGATGGCAGCCTTCTGGTGGAACTTCTCTGCCAGGTGCTCCAGTCTCTCCAGACGTCTGATCTCGCTGAGGATCCACTCCTCGTAGCCTTTTTCTGCTCCTTCCAGGGTGTGCCACGCTCCGTTGATATCCTGAGAGCAAACAGCAGGAATAACTGATATGAATCCACAACTGCAGAGTACAGTATAGCACCTGTTTCTTTGCCTGTGTAGTTCACATAGAGCAGAATAATAAGCACTGAACGCTACAAGCCCCTCAGCTAGCAGAGAGGTGCATGTGTCCACTTTGTGATTGAGGCTGATACAAAAGTTTAATTTTACATACAAATCTTTTTTAAATCTGTGAATCATTATAAAGCAGAGTCGTCCTATCAGTGGATCAGCATATCCATTTAATTGGAATATAACTTTTCTCCAACCGCAGATTGTTTGCAGTCTTTAACAAATACACATGTAACATTGAAACTCAGACATAGAGACACACAGACTTACATGTTTCTCCATCTGAGTAATAGAAATAAGTTATAAATATTCTCTCTGCATACTTACAGAAACCATGCGTCCCTCTGATGGCATGAAGGCAGGTCTGTTGCTGAGTCTCAGTTTAGTCTGCAGAGTGTTGAAGCTGATCTCCAGCTGACATTTCTCTTGGACCTGAATGACAAAAACAAGTGGAAACAAAAGCACTTAATACACGGTCGGGACATAGATTCTCAGCTAGCTCACGGCAACACAAGAATTTAAAAACTCTTCTCATGTTGCTCTGCATAGAAAGCTTTGCAGGAGTGATTCTAAACCTTGGGTGGTTTGTGGACACAGCGGTAGTCTCTGAAGTCCTCCTGCTTCGCCTGCATATCCTGTACGGTCTTCTCCTGGGTTCGGTTCTCCAGCCAGGGAATGGTGCGACGGATCCACTCCAGCAGCTGAAGGCAGAGAGGAAGACAAGAAGGGAACAATCAGCTCAATGATAAGATAATGTCAGGTCTGGTAAATATGTGGAACGTCAGGGACCTAAACTGAAGAGGTCCAATCAGTCCAGGTGTAAACATGCTGAATCTCACCTCACTAGCCAGCTTCTCATAGTCCTCCATCATTTGCTCGTTCTCCTGGTTGACAGCCAGCACTTTGCAGATACGATTTGCGGCTGTCTCAGCCTATCAGGAAACAGAGTGATGAGTGGCGCTCACAGTGATTGTTTAAAGCATAGTGGCATCAAGTTCACTCACTGTGCCCAAAGCTGAGTGAGAGCATTCACTGTAGCTTCATTTTAAAACAGGATGCTGCACTTTAAAGTCGCTACAGCAAACATACGTGTCTGTTTTATTAGTACCTCAATCTGGGCTTTTATTATAATAATAATAATCATATTAATAATAATAGTAATAATAATAATAATAATAATAGTAATAATAGTAATAATAATAATAATAATAGTAATAGTAATAATAATAATAATAATAATAAGTTTTGCTCTCAAATATGTGCGAACACACTCCACACACAGGCAGTGAATAGGAATAAATCCAAACACTATGTCAGGCACACATTATTAAATAAGTGCAAAGACAAAAACTGTAATGAATGTAAGTCAGATGAGGGTTACATCTGACTGATAAAAACATGCTTAAGCTATTGGTGGTTAGTTCAGTGTGCCAAAACCAATCTGTGTGTTTTAAAGCTCCATGCGTCTCCTGTCACAACTCAGGAGTCAGTCCATACATCTAGTTACTGGTTCATGTAGCGCTGTAGTCCACATCAGTAGGTCTGCCTAGGACATTACACTACTGTACCACTGGAATAACAAACACAGTACATTTGACAATTTGATATGTTCTGTACAAACATCCACTTTTTATCCATTCTATCATAAATAGCTGAAATGCTTCTCCTCTGTGAAAGCATTTTTCATCTTTTGAGTTAAATCTTTTTACTTTTATTTCTAAACTAATAATAATAATAATAATAATAATAATAATAATAACTGTATTACTTTAAACTAACACATCCCATACATATAAATCACATATTATACAACAAGTATTTAGAGTTGAGAAGTGTTAATAGCTGAAGAGAAACTGAAGAGACATCAACAAGTGTTTCCCACAGTAATAAACCCAAAGCGGTTTCCCAAAACGACATCAGTAGAGTACAGACGATCACAGGAGTTATATTAGTTTGGGAATTTAAGTCCGGATCATAAACCCTTTTAGGGAAACACAGTCAATGTCCAAAGCACCGAAACAGAAGCATCAGAAAGCATTTGTTGTTGTTTATTTGGTTGTTCGTCCAGAGTTCCCATCATGGTCCTAATCTTAAATATTTCCTTCCTTTTCCTAAAACTGTGTTTGAGAGAATCAATGAAACTGTAAAAATTACTTCCTCTACAGTTGTTGAAACATTCCAGTATATATTTCTGTGATCTGACCCATTTTCTGATACTAGCTGATGTTTACTATTACAACTTACTGTCTTTTCATTGTCTGGAGTAAACCTCTCGCACTATCATGGCTGATGGAAACCCTGGTGGCGGTTTATTGGTTTTTTGCTGCAGTGAAATGTTAATGTGAGTCTGGAACGTGAGGAGCTCACCTTCTGTGCGCCAGAGAAGGCGTGATAGAAGCAGGATACATAGGTCATTATGGCCTTCTCATCCGGCCTCAGCGTACCCACGATGTCTACGCATCACCCAGCACCCAGCAGGACAGAGCGAGGTTGACAAAGAAAGGTGAACAGAGAGAGAGAGAGAGGCAGAGTGAAGCCAAAGCTACCCAAAGCTACATGGTCCTTGCTCCCTACAGGATGTGAGAACAAGGGAAGGAGGGTGAGGAGACACTGTCTCCCCTCTTCAGTTCCTCCTATTACCGCCGCCACCACCCCCACACTGACGCCAGGAGGTGGGACGTCAGGGGGGAGGAGTGAAGAGAAGTGTCCTCTTAAAAGAGTTGAGGGACACAAGTTCAAGGCTGGGACACAAACACACACATCAGGTGCTAAATCGAGCCTCATTGAGTCTGTCAGGGCAAATTCATTTAAAGCACTTTATTCAAAGTCTGAAGAAGTTTCTTTAGTTTGGTTCATTTAGCCGATGACAATGACGTCAATAACAATCAGCCGGCACCAAATAACTGCACTGAGGTCTGAAACTACAGGTCTTTGTCCTCTGAGGATGCAGCTTCTTAGAACCAAGAACAGACTATGAAACAATTGCAAAATGCAAATGCAATTTACAAAAGAAAATCAGTCATTTTGATGACTGAATAATGGCTTATCGAGCAAAAACAACAAACAAATGGTTTGAGACACCAACACACCAGGTGATGAATCAAGTGCTTTACATGTACAGCATTAAGTGTGATTTGTGGTGAATGAATTTTCATGCTGGCAAAAGCAGTAAATCTGGATATTCAAGAGTTTGTTTCTAATTATGTGAGTGTTGTTTTTACTTTTATTCCTATTATGTTGTGTGGTGATGTGTGTGTGTGTGTGTTTGTGTGTGTGTGTGTGTGTGTGTGGTGTGTAAAAGCTGTGCTTGTTCTTCCTTCTAGTTAATTTGAGAGTCAAATAGCCCTAAGCATGTCGTCAGTTTGGCTCCAACTAGTGGCATGTAATGTCTCTAAATTTAGATATTTAGTTTTAATATTAGAAATC